GGAAGCCAGATCTACGATCCCTTGATGATGATCTCTCTCGTTGATTAGTTTTCATAGCTTTCTAATCCCTCTCATAACTTTCATTCTCTCAAACTCAAAACACTCGAAAGATCTTTACACTAGCTTTTAGCGTAGTGCACTGATTCCTCATCCTCGCGTACTGTATCTACTTGGGTAACCATGGTATATAGTGCTCGCGAAAGGGGGGGGGTCAAAGAGCTGCTCGAGCACGAGAACAAACCTGTCAGAATTGCTGGTGGTTTCTGTTCGACTTTCCCTTAAACGATAGCTTTTCAAATCGTTTATCCCGCCCTCTTGGCATCGTAGCCTGGCGAGCTGGTTGCAGTCTTCGACTTCCAACTTATTACCCCCCGTCGAAAGGTAAGTTGGGCTACTAGCTAGTAAGGGCTGGGCTCCGGAAAAGTGAGCTCTTGTAGCAACTCTTCCTTCCTTCCATTCTAGTAAACAGGCATGAGGTAGAGAAGGCGCCAGGTGGTGGCTTCTCTTGGCTCTTGATCTAGATCTTTTGGGCTGATCTCCATGGTGGCTCATTGGCTGGCTGGGAGGGGTCCCAGTCTGTCAGTCTTTCAGGGATGCTCCCTTGTTCTTTCGTGCACGGCCCTTTTCCAGAAACTCTTCATTCCATGTCTTGGAAGGTTGTCGCTTTTGCTGCTTGGATTTTCCACCATTTGAGTTGAGCCTCTGCGCTGTTCGGAAGATATTTATTTATGGAGAGGTAGATTAGGTAATATTGGGGTTAAAGTACGTTACTCACGCCATAAATTGTTTTACCTCATGTCTTCGAAACCGTGAAGTTCCAGGAGCCAGTCCCATGATCCCCGGGTTCATGACGCATCGTCGGCGTCTTTCGACCATGATCTTGCCGGTCGCCGTGTCACGTGGTCTACAAACAAAAAAAAGATCGCGACAAACAATTTCAATGCTCACAACAAATCGATTCGAATCATCAAATCTATTTGTTACTACATACTAGTACCAGTCTAAAAGCAATCTATACGATACAGGACGACCCCTTGTGCTTCCTATTTCGCCTCTGCTGCACAAGAACAAAAGAAAAAGAAAACAAAAGAAAAAGAAACAAAAAAAGAAACAAAAAAAGAAACAAAAAAGAAACAAAAAAACAAAAAAATCATGACGCCTCCATCTACCTTCGGTATTCGTACATTTCTCTCCCTTTTGACTGTCTTCGTGGTTACCAAGTCATGTTCCGCTGCTCCTGCCACTGATGTGACGAGCGAGAAAGCTGCTTACATCAACGACGATCCCAACGTCATCTTCGCCGACGACAAGAACCACGTTGATGACTCGCTCAGTAGGCTTCGTGGAAGCAGCAACGGACAGGCTCTCCAGGAAATCCAAACTGAAGTGTCTGCCAACTTGGCCAAAATGAGGTCTCCTGGTTCCATCGGTTTGCTCCCCTACAACGAACGAGCTGACATCATGGTCGGCCTCCAGAAGTCTGTGAGCAACGTTGTGCTCTATTTGGCAGACCTTGACTGGAAAAGTCTTCCTATTGAGGAACCGCAGCAAGCCGAACTCCATGGACAGTTGACCGAGGCCGTCAATGATAGTAATAATGCCATGGAAAAGGCCATTGAGTTTGTTCGACAGGCTTTCGAAGGTGGTGATTCCGGTCCTGAGATGAATGCCCCCCCAAAGCAAAAGCAAAATCAACGACGTGCCAAGGAAAAGTCATCCGAAGAGGACAATCAATCTTCCTCCAACAACGAGAACAGCGGCCGCTACAGCCAGGGTCATCGCAGTTCATTCCCTGGTAGCTTTTACAAGAAGTTCCACCGCATGATGGATGCTACAACGCTTCGACCCGGATCCAAGGCTCACATCAGCAAAATGCTTGGAAAACATGATGGTGCTTTTGCGTCCAATCACGCCCATGGCTCTCGGCATGGCCGTCATCTCCAACAAGATAGCAGAGAGGCCATGTGCGCTCAGCTGGTGGAGTGTGTCCTCTCGATGAGCCGTTATGATACGTTTGTGTACTTCTACTCAGGTATGTCATATGAGTGCTCCGTGAATTTGAGCCAAGCAGTAGGGCCCCCCATATGAAATATGTTACCAACTTGTCTTTCTATTGGTTCACATCTACTAGATGACATTAACCCAGCCAGTGGTTCGGTCGATGATCAGAGGATTGTTTTTGATGAAGAAGATCTCATTGCGAAGTACAACAGTGCCCAGGAAAAGGCCAACGAGATCCTCTCGAATGGCTATGATAGTTCTCCAGGTTACTGTGAAGGTAACATCCAAACTCATGAAAGTGGCGGTAAATGCTGCCACAGCTCGTGTGGACAATGTGGTGGTTATGGGTGCAATACCTGGGGTGACAGCGGTCACAATTGCTGTATGGGCCATGTAGTGCGAGAGTGCACTGGACCAGAAGACACTGAATGTGTAATTCCCTCTGAAGATAACTGTGATCAGCTCCTCCAGATGTTCCACCGAACCGTAGAAAATGGAGAAGTCCCCAAATGGGAAGGTGGTACAGTAGGCCAAGTCTGTCTGGCAGAAGGAACTCCAGCCTATGTGGACCTGGGTGATGCCGCAGCTGCCAGTGTTGATACATCCACCTTTAGAGAGAAGGCATGGGAAACGGTTGAGCAGAGAATTGAAAGTGGACAAGCCTCTGAGCAGTGGGCTGATACAGGCATTGAATTTTCTCGAGTCTCAGTTGCCAGTGATGGTACGGCGTGGGGTATCTCACCGTCTGGACAGATCTATATTAGAGGGAATGGAGGGAATGAATGGTATTCCCGGCCCCTCTATCCACCCACCACCTATCTCATGGAAGTTTCAGTGGCTTCTACTACTCAAGTAGGACTGGATTCAAATGGTGAGCTCTTCAAAGCTTCCACCTATAATTCAGATTATATGGAGAAGATAAGTGGTCCATACAAAGCAGATCAAGTTTCAGTTGGTGTAGATGGCACTGTCTGGGGAATGAGGACGTATAGCAGCCAAACCAACAAACTTTGCAAACGTGCAGGTGTAGGTTGGACTTGCGACTTCTGTGAAAAGGATTTCAAGTCTGTTCATGTTGGCAGTAAGGACCACATCTACTTCTTGGAACATGATACAGATGACATTTACAAGTACACTGGTGGTTGGTGCGAGACAACAAAACTATATGGTGCAGCCAGGTGGCTCAGTGTTTCTGTTGATGATGATGGAAACGAAAGAGGTGTTTACATTGTTGGGAATAGCAACAATCACATCTATGTCCTCAATAAGGATAAGGATATTTCTTGGGGTGCTTCCAACTCTCCGTGGAATAAATTACAAGAGATATCAGGAGGGTTTGACAGAGTGTCCAGCAGTGGTGATGGTGTGCTATGGGCCACGACACAAAATGGCCGAATGTGTGAGTGGAAGGCAGATAACAATGGTGACTTTTGGAACTGGGATACTTGGAACTGGGGGGTTGATTCAATCTCAAGTGCAGGCAAGAACCATTTTCACTGTGGCGCCTCCGAAACCTGGAAGTCTGTTTCAGTTGCCCGAAATGGAGAAATTTGTGGATTCAAAGGCTCTTACGTCGTTTATTGTAAGTGGAAGGTGGGTCAGAGCTACACATTATGGACTTCACAGGATGGAATTGGTCTCTGGACTACATTTCAACACATGGACATTGGAGTATCAAGACGCAACATGTATGTGAGTGGGAACAATGCTGACATCCAAAGACGAAAGCAAAGGGGGTGGGAATCATTTGCCAATCTCCCCAAAGCTATGATGCATGTATCAGTCACTGACGATGGGAGCTGGGTATGGGCAGTGGATGTTGATGGCAATGTCTGGAGAGTGAGTTCTGAAGTGTCAGGAGATTTCGAGTCTTTGCCTGGCAGGCAGACAGAAATTGCCGCCATCAGTAAACATGAGGTCTGGGCCGTTAACGGCTATGGAACTCTCTATCACACCACCAACAGTGGGGGTACTTGGACGGAAATTGAGAAACCCCATGGTGTAAGCATGAAGCGGATATCCGCAGCAAGTGATGGTAGTGTGTGGGCCATTGATGCTGGAAACACAATTTACCGTTTTGATGAAAATCTCTCCAACAGTGGTGGATCCGGATGGATCAATGAGAATGGTGGGTTCACCTTTTTTGATGTTGCCGTTGGTAGTCAAGGAGATGTGGTCGCCGTGAGCCATGGCTCAACCAGGCAGTACACTGGCATTGATGTGCACTTCGGATATCTGTCCAACTCCTTTGGGAATGCAGTAAGGACATTTGCAGAAGAGGCCCTTGACTGCGCAAAGGACCTATTCTTTGAAAACAGTGTACGGTCCAACAGCTTTGTGACATATGAAGCTTCTGGGACTGGCAGTGTAAGAGAATGGGAATTGGAACCGTTTGTTTTTGGTATTGGTGGAACGGAGCCAAGTGACATCAATGGCTATCGCATTCCTGTTTCTGTTGATTTCTTTGGATCTGCGTCTTCTGGCAGAGACAAACATGGCCACTTGATCAGCAATACAGTTCCAGGCTTTGTATTCAAGAAGTACACCGACTTGATTGCCGAGTACAACATTTGTGCCTCAGGGCTCGTAACCCAATTTGATACGACATTGACAGAGGCCCTAAATAATGAAACCGTGACGGATGCCACAATAGGGAAGGATGTATTTGATGGGAAAATGGATGAGTTTGTGGATGACCTTGGCAAAGACTGCATATCACCTATGTTTGATCAGATTGGCGCTGGTCTGGAGTTAGTGTTTGGTGAAAAACCAAGCCCTGGTTTCATTTGTGGGATGAAAGGAGCCATCATTTCCCAGGAAAGCATTATGCCAGGTTACTGCTGTCTTGATGCCCCCTATGAGTTGCAAGGGGATGCATGGGGACATCCTGTAAGTAACTACTTTGGTTCAAGAGAATTTGCTGCAATATCTGTGATGCTTACATCCGAATTTTGCTTGCCTCCATGGATGACTTGCCTTATCAGTATGACTGCTCCACTGCCACACATTGCCAAAATGTTGGTCCCTATTTTTCGGGCATGAGTGTTGAGGCATGTGATGCACAGGGAGGCACATGGTGCCCCCAACCATCTGACTGTGGAGTCCTTATGACTTGTATCCAGAATGAAATCAATGATGCCAGCAGTTCTGTAGCCTACAAGGAGTATCTCAGATTGGCCCCTAATGTGGCGATTACCACAGATAGCATCCAGTGTGGAAGGTATGTAGCCCTACCTTCCAGTGAACTCAATTGTTGAATGTTTGCATACTGACTACATGTTGACCATTCATAATTAATGAAGGGCGCGGCAATATTTTGGGTATGATGCTCGCTTTCTCAATGACCAGGCAATCTGTGATGATATCCATGAGCTTCGCCTTTCCAAAGACTTCTCATTTATGGATGAGTTCCTGGGAGGACAAGCTGATGGTGGAGGCACGGCCCCAGGCAATACTACCGGTGATTACACGGAACTAAACATTGCACCCTTGACGATCATTGAAATTGCACCACCCCCCGTTCCAGATTTCAAACTTGGGAAGGTGAACTATAGTACGTTATTGCTTTGACTTCTGCACCAATCTGGAGGTGCACAATTAATCTGTGTTCTAATCCCTTTGTATTGCAGCTCATTCGGGTTTAATGAAGCAAACCAAAGGACAGGGCTGGCGGGCAACCAATTTTGCACTTCGGACAGCCTTGGGCGTGGTGTACTTTGTTCGAGGCATTTTGGATTCTGCTGCTTGTCCAGAGACTGGCTGTACACCAGTGGATATTGGACTGGCAAATTTGTGTCAAGCAGCACATTTTGCAGCATCATCGGTAAGTAAGGCGCTGTGAGTGAGAGCTCATTTTGCCCTTTTTTGACATTCATTGTTTCTATTTTTCTATGTATTTTGTACCTTGCAGGCGGTTGAAGTAGCTGCCCACATAATCAATGTGGTAGGTCCAGCCATATTTTGCTGTCTTTTCACTTTTTGTTGTGATGCCCCCCCTCATATGCCACTCGATCTCCTTGCTTGCATTCTGGTTCTTCTTGGTGCAGGCCTTAGACATTTCTGAGTTTACTTACGAAGAGGCTATGGAACAAGGCAATAATGAGCCATGGCAGATCTTCGATAGAGTCAAGGCCATCAAGCACAACATGGACCTCACTGGGGAGTATATTCAACATCGGTTTGAGCAGCAAAATAACTTCATTCAAGCTCACCATGTTGCAATGAGTAATATGTTGTATGAGCATCAGGATTCAATTGGAGGCAACTTGACACTACACCATTCCCTGCATGCCATTACACAGGAAAAAGTGAATCAGACATATGACCAAGTTGTAGCGCTTGATGCAAAGATCACAGAACTTCAGTGCGCCAATTCGTTCGACCTGCAGGTTGAAATTGTTTCTGTGGCCCCCAAGCAGGTGCTTGTGCTTACCACGTTCGAAGGTGCCCTGACAGACTATACAACACTCATCATCAAGGGTGTTGAGGGCGGCATGTTTGTTTCAGTGACTCCTACAGTGCTTGGACTAGAGACAGGCAGAGCTATTTTGGAATTGTCGGGGACAACAGCAACCGCCTTCACCTTTGATGCCAAACTCACTACCAATGACAAGGTGTACGTTCAGTCTACATTGGCTTCCTTTGGAGCCCTTTGCTAGCTAGGTAATGGGCTTCGTGGGCCTACAGTATAAACCTGGATCTGAAACTGACAAAAACATGCAAGGAATATGTCCAGCGCTTGTCGTGGATTGCGAGGTAGCCGCACCACGGCCGCACGTTAAGAGAATACATAACAGTTGCTTGTTTGCATGTTTGGTGAGCAATGGCGATCGAGCTAGCGCTCTTTTAGCTATAGAATACCGCTGTCGAACTTAGGCCAAATAGTGTGTGTTGGACGGTGCGCATCCTTTGGGTATTCTGAATGCATGGATCATGCTGTGGTGACGCTGATCCTTCATCATGCAGTCACAAAAGCTTCGTCTCCATTCCCAACTGTGACTGGCACTGCTCTGGAACACAGTTTGCAAACATGTTTCGTGATGTATTGCTCTCAAGCGGAAGCCCCGCAGACTGTACCATACCGTCCGCCGTCCGAAAGGTCCTGGGCCACCCACAAAAGGGAATCTACAGTTTTGCGTCATCGGCTTACGAATGAAGTCTGGTCGGAAGTCTTCTACAGTATCGAGGATTAGCCGGAGGATTTCTCTTTACAAGGGCTTTTTGCTTCCAGGTGAGGTGCCTTGCTTGGCTTCATCAGGGGCGACTACTCGACTCGACTCACTCTCAGTTTGGGAGACGGCTTTAGCTCAAGCCAAGCAACCGGTAGGGAAAGGTGCGGAAGGTCTGGGTTCACCTTTAGCACGGTGCGGAAGTACAAAAGGTTCTAAAATTCTAGGGTTGAATTGCTTCGCTTCAATGGCGCCTAAGACCAGCTTTTCGCTGCGGAGGGTCTAGCCAGTTGAAGCAGGAAGAGCCTTTTGCACCTGATTACCGGTACCAGTTAGTTACGGCATCTCCGTGTAAAACTTCAAGAGATAAAGAACCTACTACCGGTAGCTAGCTACATGTAGCTGGAAGATGGGAGTCCAAAAGTTGCTACTAGTACTGAGTAGCTAGTACAAGTAGTAGTGTTTACTTCCACTAATCTTTACTAATCTTCTGTAGCTATTAGTCTAGCTAGCTATTACGATATCCTTGACGTTGGGAAACTGGCAGCAGTTTTCGAGGACAGTTGCCGACCGACTATTACCAGCTCCATGATGTTGGGAAACTGCACCCGCACCCGTTTTCGAGGACAGCCCCTCTCTTCGGTTGGGTCGGCAACTGACTCCTTCAGACAACGGCAGTATTGCATCCAGGGCGTGGTACTCACACTGTTTTAGCATGTGAGTATGGGTACTGAGTAGTACTCACAATTCCAAAGTCAAGTGAGTATGGGTACTGGGTAATACTCACAATTCCCAGGGTCAAGTGAGTACGGGTAATGGGTAACAGGTACTTTGTGGGTACTATAAGTACTCACTGAGTACTCATAAATCAATTACTTAGGGAAATTATCTAGTTTTTTCTAGTTCTGGGCTGGGGGCTCATTACACATCATGGCGAGCGTTTGTCATCCTGCTTACAGCTTGAAACGCTCGCACCATAGCGTCGCAACTCACTTGGGATTCGCCGGAATAGTTTCTTGGGAATCTTATGTAGTTCCTCGACTTTGACTGTCCTCAAACCAATCCTCTCAGTGTGGAAGGAAGGTAGCTTCCATCCCCGTCATCTTGGGTTCATCAAACTGGGGAGAGCCATCAAAATTGGTGGGGTCCAACTTGCAGTTCCATTCCACTTTTCAGTGTCATTGTAGCTTTGTTCGGCGAGTCCTGGCACCCAAACCACAGTGGAGTAACAATAAGAAGCAAACACACGGTATGTACCATAGGCAGTATACAAAATACTCACCGAGTACTCACCGAGTACTCACTGGTACTCACTTCGAAGTACTCACGAAGTACTCACCGAAGACTCAAAAGTACTCAAAATCCGGAGTCATGTGAGTACGGGTACTGAGTAATACTCACATTTTCTGAGGTCATGTGAGTATGGGTACTGAGTATACTCAGTACTCAGTACCCGTACTCACATCGAGTACACGCAGCGTGTATTTCATGTGAGTCCCACACCCTGATTGCATCCTTCTTGCGCTTCATTTCCCTGATCAAAATTTGTTTAAAGTGTAAGCTTGCTTCGCCGGTCACACTTACGTACTTTTTGAAATGGGCGGTACGGTACCGTGCTGCTGCGGCCAAGCTCTTCGGTTCAAACGCTGGCTGCTGAGCGTTGGTGGTTGGTGGTTGGAGGTTAACTAGCTAGATCAGGAGTGAGGAAAAGAGGAGCCGAGGTGGCTGCTTGGAGCTTTTTTTACCTGCGATTTCTTTGGGTACGGTGGTCTAGCTAGCTAGCTAGTGATCCGCCTTCGAAGGAAAGGCATAGCGCAGATCAAAGTGGTGTAATAATACGCTTTAATTTTTCTAGTCTGGTGGCTGAATGGAAATTTCTGATGTGATTGATATTGTGCTAGTTATTTACAGTTGTATTTTTTAAAAGTTCACAGTGATGTATCCTCGTGTAGTGAATTTAAGCTTCCATCTGGCTTGATGGAAGCTGCGTTTAAAATAGCGTGTCGGATTTTCGCTAGTTTCAATTTCGCAACAGAGCGCCACCAGAAGAGTGGTCTCGTCGAAGAGGAACAAGCGGCAAGGCGCTAGAAGTGGCGAGTTCGTCATGAGATTCTTGTCCTGATCGCTTATTGTTGCGCAGAGGAAGAAATTCGAGTGCTTCTTCCGGGATATCATCAACAGACACTGGAGTGAGGCTCATGTGCTGTTGAACGGCTTGATCAATTGAGTCGTCCTCGAGCAAACAAGTTCTCTTGGAGGGGCGGAAGCTGGCTTGCCATTGTTGCCAGGCGTCCATGTTATCAGTGCTACTAGTGGAGGAGGTGGTGGAGTCAGATGTTCGCTTCATATTTGCTTTGCTTGTGGGTTGTGTGTTGGGTTTTCTTTTTTGAGTTTGTGTTGTCAGTGGTTGTGTTTGGTTTTGTGACCGAATCAGAGTGTGAAGAAGTTGAGACCGGCGAATGAATACAAGAATGACCGGTGGGACCTGATCGGATTTGAAACCCCCTTCGCCCTCGCCCCTTCGATCGTTCGTTGTCGCTGTTTCCTGTGTGATCTGTGCTGGTATTGGCACCGGGGCATGTGCCAGCGTGCCAGCAAGCCGGTCAAAAAGTGTCACGGTCAATCACATACGGTACGGTACGGCACTTGAGACCCATAACTCAGAGCAGCTGAAGCTATTCCCAGTTCGGGTTTGGGGTTAAGTCCGACCAGAAAACCATAGCATACCATCCGATACCACCAAAAACTGCATGGATGACTTCGAACTGACTTTGACGACCTGAATGGTTTCTGTAACGATACCCCCAAAATGAATCAAACAGGGGATGCTCTTTGTTGTAAGGCAACAAAAACATCACCCTGACAAACTACATTGGGGGGATGCTGATGCCAATAATTATAAGATAAGATTGATTAGCAGAATACAGAATCGGTACCTGTACTGGATCATGGTCGCCTCGAATGCTTTGTCAGAAAGCAGCCTTTGTCGTTGTGTGACTCAGTTTCCCACGGAAGCCGATTTATTTATCCGGAGTATTTGTTTTGCTCGAGATACATAGTCTACATACACAAGCTCATGCATGCATACATACACGTACTTCATACATGTAATAAGTACCATGCCAGTACTCAGCAGAGAGCCCCTCAAACGCACGCGATGTAATACATGTAATACGTACAATGCGTATTCTACGTATTCCCGTATAATACGTATAACACGTATTACACGGTCGCCAGCCAGCCACCGTGACCGTCGAGTAGACCGTTCGTTCGCAAAATGGCTTCAACACCAATCTCCACCATCTCTCACCATCCCACAACACACCCATGAGATAACCTCTCTTCTCTTGTTTTTTTGAAGGATACAGAGGTTTCTGTTGTTATTTGAAGATAGTCCATCATTGTGGGTAAGTAAGCAATGTGGTATGGCTTTTTTGAAGCCAAGAAGACTGTTTCTGTGGAAAGATAGAAGGATTTCTCTCCATTCAACTCTTTCTTCATTCTCCTGCCCCCACTCTCTTTATCAGGCTTGTCAAGCTCACAGGACCATTCTCTTTGCATTCATATACTTCTGAAGGCTCACTGACGAAGCCTGTGGAAGATCTGGCCTTTATTCTACCATTGTCAACAACTTTCTGTAGGGACCAGTACTGAACCATGTAAGTACCCAAGCGCGCAACACTGTTATGCATGATATACGTTATATGTGTTACCGTGTTACCCGTGTTATACATATTAACTGTGTTGTACGTATTAATGTGTTATACGTATAACACGTATTACCTGTGTTATATGTATTACCTGTATTATACTATTACCTGTTTTCGTATTAACCGTGTTGTTGTCTCACATATTTTCGTTTTCTTCATTAGTATTTTCGTTTAGGCATCTGTCGGGTTCTGACGATGAAGATGGTGCGCAAGACGCTGAGAAGACTTTGCTCGAGAAGAGGAGAAGGATGACGAATCTGAGGAGGAGATTCCTTTGGCCCTGACAATCCTGGTCCTTTTTTCCCCGAACAATCACTCCCCGCAACTTTGTTACAGTATTCAAGAAGCCATTCGATGACCGCGAAGCGCCGAAACGAAGATGGATCCATACCACGCATCCTATCTACCATCTGGACTGTCAGCATTTTGTACCAATGCTTTGAGCCTGGTGTTGACAGAGTAGTGCCGAAAGTCTAACTCCTTCAAAGTCCGAAAGGTTGGTCCTAGCATGTACAATCATTCTAGACCTCCAAACGAGTGTCACATGGGAACAATGCCATGTGTGGCTGAAAGACTGCCCATCGGCAGCTATCCAGACTCTATGTGCAATTCCCTCTTTTCGGAGTTTGTTTTTAGGTGATATCACCAGACTTGAACTCGGGATACATTTGGAACAATCTCTGGGAACTTTCACCCGTCCAGGCAAGTGCAAGCAAAATCATTCAGAACCTGTGATGGATAAGCGTCTCTTACTTTGTTGCAAAGGATTCAGCACTGTCCGATTATCTGTTAGTGATTCAGGATCAATGTTCTGAGGTGTGGCTCCCTATGTGATTGTCTGATTCGAAGAAGGCCGGAGTCATATGAGGCAAATAGGACAACGAACGATTTTGTGGTCGGATTGCAATCGGCAAGTAGCCTGTCTGCAGCTGTCCCTCCTGATGCGGTACTTGAGAGATTGTACCGTCTGGCTTCACCAAAGACAAGACAACTCCTTGATCAAACTCTTCCTTAGAGATTCGATTTGTTTCGAGTTAGAGATGAGCCTGTCCGTTATAAAGTAAAGTCTTAACAACACTTGGCGAGAGGTGGTTCTTTAGCATTGTTCCGCTAGTGTAAGGCTTCTGTGCCAAATGAGTACTTAACACTTTCACTTGTGCCTTTCTAGTTGTACATGGCCACGATGAAGCTTGTTGCCTGTCTGGAACTTGGTAGATACCATCGTCTGTGTTCCTGGCTATATAGAACTTGAAGAGAATGGACATTGACACCCTCCCCCCAACAGGAAGCTGAGTCTGTTGGTTTTGTTGCTGTCCTTTTGGGCCTTTGTTTGTAAAAACGATCCTTGGACAACATATGGAATGTGATTCCGCCTCTTATCAAATCCCTTGTTTTTGATGCGGAATCCAGCAGTCTTGCAAAGGAAGTACAAAGTATGGCACAAAACTTCTTTAATATGCGCCGATCACAAGATTGATACATCGAAGGTAGCCAATACACCGTCGATTTCTCCATTCGATAATTATCGAACCCCAGAGTATCCATAATGTTTATCTCCTTTGGCGTATCATCAGCTAGTGAGGTTGCTACATTCACAATGATGGAACAGGAGTCCATTCTTCATATTGATATTGTATCTAGCAACATGAGAGAGTTCAGATAGGTAAGAGTCCATTTACTTGATAAGCTGTCAGTATTATGGCCTGCAACAGTGCATCTTCTCTCTGCCTCCCAAACACCTGGCAAAACACCTGGCAAAAAAACTTGGCAAAAATTCGTCACTATTATTATACGTAAAACACGACAACACATAATACATGTAATAGTATAATATTGTTCCACTTGTGTTATCTGTGTTGTACGTATGACTTGTCTAATACATATTAAAAATGTTATATGTGTAATACGTATGATCTGTAGAATACATAGTAAAAATGTTATACGTATAATACAACCGCGTGCGTTTCAGGGGCTCTCGGTACCGGTACCGGTATCATACAATGTCATGTACATAATACATAAAGCAAAGAAGGGCTTTTTTCTTTCAGAGTCCATTCCACTTCAACTGTGGCTGGTAAAGGTCTCTCTGGTGCATGGTTTAACAACGTTTGAAATAATCATTTTTTTAATGAAGCTATGACAAGGCTTCTTCTTAGTATTGGTCTACCGTATAGCACTCTATTTGAGTCAAATTAAAGGTTCTTTGCCAGTTTCCTAGACACATATCCTTTTTAAATCACCGCTTGCTCAAGGTACATGTACCGAAAAGCACTTGAAAGAACAAAGAAGAGATCCCAAGATCCAAGATTCTTCAAAGCGCTATCAAAGCACGTGAAAAGGATCTCCTAGACTACATACACTGATGAGTAGCTAGAGGAGCATGGGGAGAGCCTGTCAGTCCCCAAATTAATTGAGGGAACGGTCCCGCCGCTTGCTTGTGCCAAGATAGATGTTGTGGGATCCCTAGATTTTGTTGTACCGGTACTGTGGTACCGTTTCTTTAGACAATCGGCCGAGGTGCGTAGCTTCCGCTTGCTAGCTTGCAGCGGTACCGATGGCTACAAGTGTATGATACCGGTAGATGATGCAGCGCAAGGATCTCGCAGCGAAAGATCAAGTTAGTGGGAACTGCTGGTTTGACTTCTAGCTACTCAGTATGGAGAAAGTGCTGTGTTCGTGGAAACAAGGAACGGCTGCCCGTTGCTTCCTCGGATGGCTGGCTTCGTGTGAGTGATTCTGGTTTTCGTTGTGCAGCTCGCCAGCAGCGGCCTCTGTTGTTCAAGTTGGAGCACTATCTCAGTCGCCTCTTGGTCCTGAATCAAGAAATAAGGGCTACAAACTTCCAAATGGGAACCAATTTCTCCCCTATCCAAACATACTTTTTGGGAGGCAAGGCGGCAGCCTGGCAGGCAACAATTGCAACTTTCTTCAAATGCAATAGAGTAGTCGCTCTGCGACTTGTCAAGACTAAGAGTCCATCGACCACTGTCACAGAGCCTCCCCCAATAAAGCTACCATGTATCACGTTGAACTTGCTTGTTGTTCTTCCTTCGCCTTCGCTGCCTGAAACGAGCTCCTGCCTAGCTCAACCGCATTCTTCTTACCAAATAAATCTTCATGACTACTGCAGATTTCCTCCAATTGGATATTGAACTTATTCCTACTATTCACGAGCTCTTGCTTGCTACAGAAACTAGCCAGACCTGGGACATCAAGCGATGCATTAGGGTCGTAGCGTAGGAGTTCGGCAAAATGTTACCGGTTTCAACCGAAGAAGTGTGACCGCGCCGAGCACCGACTAAAAGCTCCCAAACGGTACCGGTAGACTACTGCTGGTGGCTTTGCAAGTTAGAAACCCAGCAGAGCGGCAGAAGCACATTCGCAGTTGCAAAAATCACAAACAGCGGAAAAGCCACTTTGCCAGTTCCAGCATCCAGCACACTCAACATCATCATGATGTTACTTCTTCTCAGTGGCAGGGGGCTCAAAGCTTTCAGCGTCATAGGCAACGAAACTACGTATCAAAGTATGTGTTGACTCAAGTGGGCAGCCAGCCAATTCCAAGCTATGCAAAGTCGAAACTGGCATGGACAAGGGAAACGCGCAACATTTCTCCGAACCACATGAATGAGCAGCACAGGGTGTGGAATCCCGATAAACCACAGTGGAGTGTGAAGCTGTCACACTCAGACCAGAATCTGACACGGTGGCAGCAGAATCAAAGCAAAGACTTATCCCGAGATCCCAGCCATGGGAATTGTAGATGCACAAGGATCAAACCTTTCCAAGCTGCTGGGGCAAACTTCCTTGGTAGAAGGCTCCTATTTTTCACTCTTTTCTTTGGCATCAGTAAGTTCCTTTTGCTCTGTTGGGAAGATCACACATGTTGTGGCTGGACTATGCCGTCGTAGTGATGGTCTGAAGTCAACAGAGCGGAAAGTACGGTAGCCTCCGCTGCAGTTTTCTTTGCCTCCTGCAGGCCTACAGGCACGGTACAGGAGCTAACTAGATGATGGCCATGGGCAGCATACGAGTTTTGCACTGAGTGGAAACATAGTTCAGGAGCGAAATGGAGGCATTCGGGAAAGATTCCTGACCTGGACAGTCCAAGCCGGGGTGTGGCTGGTGTGACAAGCAAAGTGGATCCGATGGCTGGTCAGCGAAGGGCTGCTTACGTGGATTGTGGCTCTATCAAGATCTATGTAATCTTTGCTACGATACTAGTACTCCCATGGTATGGGACCTCTTGGCTGGGGTTGTTCCCCCAATTGGCTTTGCCTTGGAGGACCGTGTTACATTGCCACCAGGCGCAGTTTGTCTTTCGAAGTTTCGTCTGCAGCAAGACTGAAATAACTTCATCTCTAATACTCTTTTAATTGATTCACGTATTCTGCGTGACTCGTACGTACCCCTCACTCCAAAAAGAACAAATACCACATCACCACGCACGAAGCAGACAAAGTTTGCGTGGTTTGACTTTTTTGGTTGGCTGCTGGCATGGAGTTGAAGTAAGTGGCAAAGCAACGAGATGGATGACCAAGAGTGACAACCATGGGCAATAGTTAGAGGACAGAGGTCGTTCCCATCAATCGGAAGAAGATTTTAGCTTGCTAACGTTGCACTTTTTGACGTCAGTGAGAAAACAAGCAAACAGACATCGGTGGGTCGCTACGAACTGATATTATCTCAACAGGAAAGATATTAGTGGTAGGCTGTTGGTTGGTTGATTGGTTAGGTCCACAATTTTTGGTTGGCTCCAGCAGTAGCGTTTGAAGCAAATCCATTTTCTTTTTCATCATCACCATGGCGACTCTTTCCAGAACTCTTTTGTGTATGGCCTCTTTGGCAGTTTCGGCTTCGGCCTTTATGGTTCAGCCTCGGCACACTGCTACCACCACTACCAGTACAAATGGTGCTCGAACCACACCCCTTCACATGGCCACTTGGTCCGACAGCAAGGCCGTGAAAGAGTATCAGGAGTTTCTCGATACTGGCAACCAAGATATTGAGCGAAGACGCGATCAACCTTCTGTCATTCTCATGACCCCGGATGGCGCTTCGGAAATGGCAGAAGCATTGTGGGGCATGGGAATGGGCGATGACATTGTCATGCAGCCCTTTGATTCGTTGCCCGCCGAAATTGATGGCAATTACGAGTACCCCATTTACGTGACTCTCCCTCCCTGGCAGATTGCTGAATTCATTCGCAACTTGCCACCGGAATACCTCCAACGTGCCGATGACTTTGTGTTCTTTAGTGGTGGCCTGAACCATGGAAACATTGAAGACGTCCTCAAGGATTTTGGATTCTGTCGGGATTCCATGACCCAAGTACTCACGTCCGGACTCCGTGTGACGGAACTCAAGACTGTCGTCGACACGGGTGTTCAATTGGGATTTGCCGGCAATGAAGAAGAGAAATGGGCCGGACGGTGTACTGCCTGTGGCAAATGGAACGGTGCCATTGCCGAACGCATGGAACGCAACAATGTCATTTGCAAGACGGACTTTTACCGCGAATGGAGACGTCAAATGTGGGAGGATTCCCTCGCCACGGGCATCTTTCACTTGTTAGGAGCCGTTCGAGAAGAACCCACCAGCATTCAAAACGTGGCCAACTACTACTACGAAGAAGCCAGTGATTTGTTGTGGGAAATGTCCTCCCAGTTGCGTGGATGGAAGGCCATTACGCTCATGTTTGGATTTGAGGAGCGCATGTTTGGTGTTGCTGAAGCCAATGGAGGAGACATTGCCTGTCAAGTGAACAATGAAATGTACCCCTTTATCTGGGGTAACTCTCTGTTGATTCAAAGTAACCTCTACCTCGAATACCTCAACTATGCCCAGCAGTCGTTGGGACTCTTCCAAGGAATCCAGTTGCCCGAGTATCAGCAAGAAGAAAACTCCATCATGCGCAAGGGTAACTTGCGGGCCGACGGAGTTGTTTAATTTTGTTGTTCAATACATCAAGCAAGCAACTGGAAGCAATCAAGCATCCGCTGGAAGCAATCAGATGCCAAGCGAGCTCAGCAAGCGAGCAAACCACAAAGAGATACCGACCTAAGATATATTCCGAATTGTCCAATCACCCACCAAGCCATACAGTAAGTATCTAGTACATTATTATAACTAAACTGAATAGCATCTTTTTGCTTTTTACAGTTGACTTTTTGCTTGCCGAAAAAGTGTTGCCCTCCAGACCTTCAGCCCTCCAATTCTAATAAGCAACAACACAAAACAAACAAGAGCAACGTACGTGAACAATGCAATGCAATTGCCACCTGGTCTCTGGGGAAGGCAACACGACCACTCTGTGGGGTACGGATCCAACAGATAGATGAGGTAGAACAACAACCAACTTGACGGCGACAAAGAATCGACAGACAGGATGGCTACATACTAGCTAGCTAGCCTGTCAGCCCACAAGCAAAACCAATGTCTGTCTCCTGGCTGGCCAGAAACAGCAGCGCTAGCTGCTGTGACTCCATGTGGCCTTCTGTTGTAAACATGACCTGTTCTGCGGGGGACGGATTCCACCAACACCAACAAGGGCAAATAAGACCAATTTCTGTGTCACCGCCAGAAAAGGCAGTCGTTGTCTCTCCAGGTACGGTAGCCCCTTCCACACTCTACGGCATCAGATAGATCAATAAGAGGTCTCTTTTGTCAGTTTGACTTATTATTTAGTTGGCTGGTTGTTATGAAGGGGCACATCAGTTTTGCTGAAGTTTCAGCAACCTGCATTGGATTTTCTAAGTTTCACAGTACAACATGTTCTGATCCAGCCGACAGTAATACAGCTATCCGTGGCATGGCATGACATCGCATGGTATAGCATGGTTCGTGGCGATTCGATTCTGCCAAACACCAACTCATCATCAGATAGATTGTTGCATGAATTACAGCTTGTGCTTGATTTTGTAGTTTTAACATGGTTCCACACAGAAATCACTTTCTTGTCGCTCAATCAATCATTTGCTAATTGTTTTTAGTGGCTATTGGCCATGACAACACTGGCGACTCCCGCCACCACTCCCAGTGCGGCCAGAGCCGCTCCTCCTCCTATTGCCGCCTGTTTGAGTTTTTCGGCATCCCGTTGTTCCATGGATGCGACACTCGCAGCGTGCAATTCCAGACCAATGGCCAAATCGGGTTGACTCCGTAGAATATTCTCGCATCGCGTCCGTGCTTCTTCATAATCGCCGAGCAAATAGAGTGCCGTGGCAGCCGCGTAGAGACAATCGGCTTGATACCCGTATCCTTCCGTCACGAGACCATCCAAAATGGTAACGGCATACCGCAATTCCGCCTTTTCGCTCGATTTGCTCAGTGCAAACGCATATTGAAACGTATTGTCGGGAGACGGATCCTTGGCACATGCCACGGCCAATTCTTCTAGCACTTCGCGACTCGGTAGCGACAGTTGTAACACTTCGTCCAAGTGTTGTTTGATCTCTTGTGGGGATTGTTGTTGTTGTTGTTGTTGTTTCGGTATTGATTCTCCCATTGTAATAGTAGTTTAGTAGTATTGAGGTGGGTCTTGTTGTACTTGTAACTTGGAAGGTAACTTCTGATGACTATTTTGTTCGCTTGGTTGTTGCTTTCTTGCTTTGTTGCCTCTTCGATTTTCGTTTTGTGGTTTTGTGAAGTCGCATCGACGTTGGCGGCAGGTTGGCGATCGCCAATCAATCCATTCGAAGCCATCGAATCACCGAACTATTTCGAACATCGTCACCGACACGATTGATTAATCCGACTAACCAGCAAAAATTGGATCGTGGTATGGCGCATTCGGGATTGAGGCCAGGAAAGTAACACCAAGCTCGAATGCCATGGTTGTCGTATTCAGAAACTGGCTGCATATCTGAAGAGATGGTTTTCTGAGGGCCCCGTCCCAAAGCGAGGGAAACCAGAATGCTCCCAGCATAGCAATCCACTGGAAAGCATTGCAAGCCAACTCTTTGTTTTCATGCGGAAAGTTTGCATGGAAGCAATGACGCAATGACATCGAATCGAATCTCCACACAATTAATTGAATGGAAAACTACTCCAAGCCACTGCCAAAATTTCAACAAACCTCGGCAGCAATGAAACACGACAAATTCGTTGTCAACCTGAGTTCTCCTACTACAAGTTTCGAACCAGCAACTTGAAATGCCAATGCAGTCAGCCAGTCTTGAAGGATACCAGCTCTGCTATCCTTCACATCCAGATGGCATGCTTGCCCCCACCCCCGGCTAAAACTGTCTGCATTGCCTTGCCACTATGAACGCCAACAATTCTCAATTACTCTACTAGACCCCCCCCCCCCTAAACCGCACCCGCCACAAGTTGTTCCTGTTCGGGTCAATTGCCTTTTGCATTTCTACCGTACAGTACCGCCGCCAAGTTCCCACAAGATCAGTTTATCCATGATCCACGTCGTGGAAACAGGAAAGATTTCAGACTTTTGCCCAACACAACTCTGTGCACATTGCTCGCATTTGGAAAAGGTGTCGCAATGACATTGGCAATGGAAAGTGCACCCTTTATGAGCAAGATGGGCCAAACCTTTTGAACTCACAAGCCTTCTATAAATGTGTCTTAATTTAAAAAGCTGGTTTTGCTGTTCGAGCCGTGTGCGGCTGTCATCGACGGTTTGTGTTGAGGAAGTAACGTCAGTCCTAAGTCGCAAGTAAATGTTTCCTCTTCTCTAAATTGGCAGCAAAGATAATACATGTAATCCATGGGGTTGTTCTCACAAGAGACATAACATGGCAAATGGAAACGTGCAACCCTGCTTTCTTGCATTGCGTACAGGAAACAAAGCCACTCTACTACCACGCATGCAGATGAGTACAAGAGAGCAAGCAGCTTAAGGATGTCCCACGGGGTATACAGTGAATTTTAGTTTTAAGAAATTATTAGCTCACTTTTTCAAGAGCTCTCGAAATAGATAAAGTGGTTGTTAGCTCTCAGATCTATTCTATGATTTCGTGGGAATCCGGAACCTCCGACCTCATCATCGAATCTCCAAAGCATGTCTCACCATTCACTTCTGCTGAAATGTTGGCTTTTCGCCTCACATAGTTGGCAACTTGGTTGGATAGCCATTGGCTTTTTGCCAACTATGAATGGAGGGACAGGTAATCTGCCCTTGATGAATGTGTCGGCATCACCAGTTTGTTGATTCTGCACAGAACAGATATAAGACAACAGCCACAACAAAAATGAATAGTAGCAAGAGGAGTAGTAACGCCGCTTTGAGGAAGCTGGATCACCATGGCCGATTTGGTGGTCCTTCCTGGAATGCAAAACGTCTCAATCAAGGAACTTCATCGAAAGTGGATGGAATAGAGGGTGTTGACCTCATTGAAAGGGAATGTACTGGCACTTTACCCAAGTCTGGTAGAAGGAAGGTAGCAGTTGCAGTAGAAGAGACAGAAGAATCAGATGACGAAATGGCAGATGTTACCAAGCTTACAGAACCCCCATTGCCAAACCGTGTCATTCTGGAAAGTGTTCCACTGTCACAGCTCATCGAGGCAAACTGCAACTGCTCTCGCTGTCACAGGAGTACCTTGAAGTTGAAGTTTGTGTCTGTTGGTGTGGCAACAACACCGGTACTGTCTGACCCACTGCGAGAAGGATCCACAGTCAAACCAAGACTGCACAACCCAAAAGAACAACAATGAGGAGTTCGCATGCGCGTGTGATGCCAATGTCGACTTTGAATGAATGTTAAATTTGTACTTGCCTTTGTGGGTAGTGGGGATGGTGGAACTGAGGCGGCAAGGTTCCTTGGCTTTTTATCATTGCCTGGAGCAAATTCTATGGAAAGGAGAACGTTCTCTCAGATAGAGCGGCACATTTGTCCTTATGTCGAATACATAGTGGATGGCTACCTGCATGATAATCTGATGGAAGAGATCAGACTGACATACGCCGAGACAGAGGGGAATCTGGACGCTTGGCGGGAGAGCCTTGAGACTGGGGATGCACCGGTGGACGGAACCGCACTTCCGTACATAGGAACCTCTACGGACATGGGATGGAACAAAAGGTCCAGCGGCAGGACATACGACTCTCATTCAGGCCATGCCTGTCTGGTTGGAGAAAAGACAAGGAAGCCAGTAAGTCTTTCCACCAAATGCACCTTCTGTCGTATTTGTACAGTGAAACGAGAACTTACGGAGGAAATACCAGAACACGAGTGTGTTATCAACCATGACGATGGTGCCGGTGCAATGGAAGCTGCGTCATTGTTGAAGATGACTCAAGACCTGTACTTTGACAAGGCGGTTTGTATATCAAATGTGGTGACAGATGATGACAGTAAGATGAGAGCAAGGTGCAAGTGGAACAATGATGACTGGCTAAAACACAACGGGCACGAACCTGGTGACAGAAGACAGTTGATCATCGGGACGCGTGTTGCTCCTCCATCTCAACAGAAGACTCCAGGTCAAGTCAAGATGATACCTGTCTACCGTAACTCCGGTATGTTGAAGTATCCCGTTCCACAACCTCGTTTCCTGGCTGATCCAGCGCATCGCAAGAAGACATTGAAGAATCGCTTGTACAAGTTGAAGGCACGTTCTGTCAAAACGGCCAATGACATGCAGGAGGGTGACATCCTACGAGTTTCGTTGTATTTCATCTTCTTCATCCGTGACATGGCAAGCATCCCAGAGAATGAGCGAGTTGAAAGAGCCCAGTGCATCTACAAACATCATTTTGACGTACACGATCAATGCGGTGAGTGGTGTAAAAGGAAACTCGATACAACAGAGGAGCGATCCAAGTCGCAAAAGACTTACCGGAGCATGGAACATGACAGTCTCCTGTACATCGACATCAAAGAGGTGGTGGAGGAATTCGCCACCGCCGAAAAACTGGCTGAGTTATTCCACAACGGAGACACCCAGGTGAACGAATCGCTAAATCAACAGATCGCATGGTTGGCACCGAAGATGAAAACGTATTGTGGTAGCGTGTCACTGGTGATGCGGGTCCGCATTGCTATTGCCATTCATCTCGTGGGAAATCTGGTGTTGTGGCGTGACCTCTTCTTCAGCATTGGGTTGGATGCCGACATGTTGACAGAGTACCGACTGCTAATGCGCGACAAAACGAGGAACAGTAAGTTAGTGAACTCGAGGAAGACAGACTATCGTGTCAAACGCAAGAAGACGATGCATGACAAGGTACAGGGGTACATGAAACAACTGAAGATAGACCGAGTCAACGGCATGGCTTACCAGTCTGGTTCGGCGATGGATGCAGACAACGGCACACCGCCATTGTCGGAGGTAATGTGTTCGAAGTGTCATCAACTTGGCCACAAAGATGCAAGGAGTGGAAAGTGTCCAAACAATGCGAAGAATCGACGTAAATGGAGTAAGGCCAATCCCAGCAATCCCATGAATGCAACCTCAATGCTCGAAGAAGAAGATAGCAATGTTCTTCCCATGCATGAAGAAAAACATAGCGGGGACGGCGATGAGAATGATATTTCGCTCATAGATAACATTCCCCTTACGAGCGATCCACACGTCGCAGAATTGTCGGAATCGCTAGCCAACGATGGTTGAACATCGCCGAACACATATAGTTACACCTTACTCTAGACACCCGGAATAGCCAGAGTTCGCATGCGTCGACTTTGCAAGAATCGTCGAATCTGAGTTGGCTAGATCGCGAAACTATGTGTTTTGTCAAATCTACGTAGCTATTGGGTACTACGACGATGTATGTACTAAAATAGTATAGAAAGTCTAGCGTTATCAATAGCTAACATTCATTGGTGGTGAAAACCGGTGTTCTTTTTCGACAAATACACAACACATGTTTCCTTTACGGAACCCATCGTTCCGAGAAGTCGCTCGAAGGTTCCGAGACGTCGCTGATTGGACCATTGACAGGTTGAGAGAGGAACAACGGTGGTCTTTGGAACAGATTGAGCGAGGAGCAACGGTAGTCTTTGGTACTAGTCTTCCCATAAATCCAGCGACTTGCTTTTGACAACACCTTCCGTTGCCTTTGCACCGTTGCTCATGACACTTTTCGCCTCCACCACCTTCTTTGGATCAGCCGGCATGAACGTACTGTAACGAACACCTTTTGGATTGGGGTACAATGACCGAACAGCCTTGACAAAACAAGTGGGCAACTGCTTTCTCCCATTGATGAACTTGTACCCATTGACGGCGTAGTACCAGTAGAAGCACCAGCGATTGTGGTTGGCAGCCAAGTCATCGAAGGAGTCACCATCGAGTTCTCCGTTCAACCTGCTGGAAACAGAGAGATACAAGTCGTTCACGTCCACATCCTCAAGAGGCAAGGTAAGAAGAATGCACCGAATGAATCCATACTCTGAACAACACTGGCAACTGTTGTGATGACCCTCTTCTCCAACCGCTGGCTGTGTCACAATGAAATAACTTCCTTCCACGCTTGTTTTCCTCTTCGTCATACGCACAGATCAAAGGTATCCAGGAGATTCTCCCGCATGTCGCATCCACGAGACTTCATCATGTCAAAGTCCATTTGCTCCCTCCAATGCTGATGGCTGAGTTCATGCTGGATCCAGTTTCCATGGAAGTAAGGCCCTTTGTCAGGTGCCATCATGAGACAGTGGATCGACTCATATGCATCAATCGAAGTA